TAGCAGGAAATGGAGTGTGATCAACAGAGATCGATGGGAATAGCACTTCCCAGAGCCGGGGATAGCTCTTTCCAGAGCCGACCGCACGCCATCATTGCAGGCGATCGAATGAAACGCTGTGAGTGGGGGGGGGGCGTTCCGAGAGAGTCTCATCGTCATCCTCTAGGAGCAGGAGGGTTTCCATTAGGTATTGATAGCCATAGATGACCTGAGGCGTTGCGGAAGCGTTGGAAACCAGATACCTGGCAGAGCCTTTGGAGGGAATCGTCGGACCAACAGGGTGCTGTCACCTAGGACGTGACTCCTTGAACGCCATGGCGATTAGCCTTCCTTGGGGTGATCAGCCACGTGACACGATTCCATGGCTGAACCTGGGGGTACAGCAGCTAGTGCTGCTGAGCACATCGGGAATTCCTTTGGAGGCGACGGGCGTGAATCCGGGGTTACGGATGCGAGAATGTGAATTTGCTTTGTATCAGAGAAGCTTCTGATACAGAGTAAATTCACACTCAGCTTTTGATAGTGATAGTGATTCTGATAGTTGACGATTATGAATAAAGGACCAAAGCATCAGTATGCAGGGTCGGATCATATGAATCGGCTCTTGTGGAAACACACTGGACTTCAGTGAAGTGAATTTTCGGCCCAAGCCCAGGGGTCCCAGTCTGCAAGCCACTCTACCAGCTAATTTGAGAGCTGTTGCACTACCAACGAGCTTGACAAGTATACTGCCATTTTTATGGCCGATGGAACATTGCAGTCACCCGGCGAAAAGCCACCTCAAAGTGGGAAAATGGACTGGCTGGCCACAAAGATGCCGGCTCATGTGTCAGCGAGGGCGAGACGAGAAAGTCCGTGAACGCGAACAGGAATCCCTGCTGCAAAGAAACTGCGGCTACGATTGCGATTAGAAACTGGGATGTCTCCGAACATACGGGATAGAGATCGACTACCCAATGTTCCTCATTGGAAGGTGGTAGACGAAGTGGTAGAACAACGAAGGGCGCGGCAACTGTGGTTGAGGCCTGAGAGCAGACACTCTTGAGCGGCAGCAGCCCCTAATAAGTAACGCCAACGGGTGTGAGAAGGAGGAATTTGGCAAGACGAGCTGAAACAATGACGCAGCAGAAGAAAACCCACACCTCGAGCAGTCAGGGCGTGGAAAATGACCAAAAGGAAGAGAGGTGGAGGCACGGTGGGTTCCTCGCTCGCAGTAGCGCTGTACACGGGCTATGTGATCAATTTTCTAATCGCAGTCGCGGTTTATTTGCAGCACGGATTCCTGTTTGCGTTCACGGATTATCTCGTCTCGCCCTCGTCGACACAGGAGCCGGCATCCTTATGGCCAGCGAGTCCATTTTCTCCATTTTCACGTGGCTTTTCGCCGAATGAATGCCCTGTCCTATCTGCCGTATAAATACTTGTCAAGTTCGTTGGTAGTGCGGCTTGCAGGGGACCCCTGAGCTTAGGCCGAACATTCACTTCACTGAAGTCCAGTGTGTTCCCACAAGAGCCCATTCATATGATCCTATATTGCGCAAAGAGGCTTTGGTCGCCTACATTCATGGTCGGTCAACTATCAGAAGCTTCTCTGATACAGAGCAAGTTCGCATTCTCACATGCGTAACCCCGGATTCAGGCCAGTTGCCCCCAAAGGGATTCCCGATGTGTCCAGCAGCACTAGCTGCTATGCACCCAGGTTCAGCCGTAGAATCGTGTCATGTGGCGATTACTCCAAGGAACGCTAATCGCCATGGCGTTCGTGGAGTCACGTCCTAAGTGGCAGCACCCTGATGGTCCTACAATTCCCTCCAGAGGCTCTGCCCGGTAACTGGTTTCCAACGCTTCCGCAACGCCTCACGTTATCTATTCCTATCAATAACTAACGGAAACCCTCCTGCTCTTAGAGGACGACAATGAGACTCTCTCGCAATCCCCCCTCTCCCCCCCCCCGTTGCTGCATGTCATCGTCATAGGCCGTACAGAGCTCCATCAGAACCAAAGCTAGAATTAACTTCTGACAGACTTTGACCACAGCCCGAAAGTAATAGGCTGAAGAAAGCATGGCACTGCTGCGACTTTTTCCCTTTTTTTTACTTTCTAACTGAACATGCAGTGGAACATACACTCACACTCGTCATTGTTAGCCGTAGCGTCCACCTTAGGGGCAAATAAGCTTCCCCCTTCTCCAAGGTAATTGCCTTGTGTCAAACGTGAATGCCGTGAAGTTTTCTAAGTGCGCATTTTTCCATGCATATTGGCTGGCCATTCCCTTTGAGCAATGTTGTGACCTTCGAAATTTCTTGCTCCTTCTTGGTCTCTACCAAAATCCAATTTCTGTTGTGGTAATGCATCGGCTTGTATGAATTCATCCTGCTTTGATACTAGAAGGCGAAGTCATATCCCGATAGTATCAGTTCCTTCCCTGGGTCTGTTTGCCGTGTACGTTTGCACCACTTTTCTTAATCCAAAAATGCGTAACAACGGCTTGTAATATGTCAGCGATTTGCGCACAGCAATCAATCAATCGGTCATCAGAAATCTCCTTTTCAACCTGCCCATAATTCCTTTCTGCGGTAATGAGACCTCCAATCTCACAGTTCGATGCGTCAGCAGCGATTAATATTAGGCTGAGAAGAAAGTCCCGTCAGTGTTTTTTGGTAAGCTTGCAGTTTTTGATTCTTGATGCTTGAACATGACGCAACATGCTATGCTTGTAGAACATAAGCTTTCCTGCACGAAGGGTGTGAGGGCGCCTGGGTTTGATCACGATGTCATTTTCACAGGAGCATCTTCGGGCCATCATCTAATATCGGTGGCCCCGCGGCACTGTTGATGTTGCGGACAGTCCGGCACTTAGCCTGTCCGCAACGTCAAATGTGCACTAAGGGAAAAACCACTACCATACCGACGGGTCACCTTTAGTTCGCTCGCTTTGCGAAAGGAGACACGATTTTCGAAGACAAACCTTGGTTAGGGCGGTTCCACATATTGAAAGGCTGCTGCATTCTCGAAGCAGTCAAGAGAGAGGCTACCACCCGCAGTCTTGCGACGGGAACCGGATGCATCTAACTAACAGTCGTCAAGTGCCTGTAACCCCTTGACTACCGAAAGATACTGGCTCGATGGATCCCTATGCCTTAACGGATGGCGCGCTGTGCACCCGGGTTCTCCGTGGTGAGTCTCCCCCTCTCCGCCCTCTCTATAAGGAGTCTTTCGAAGACTGCCCAGAGGGGTGAGAGATGGGTTATCTGTGATTTCAACCTACACAGCGCCGTATGTTCACCTCAGGGAAAAGATCCATCCAAGCAGTCCAAACCGGGCATGTATTCCAAGAAGGTTCCCCTGTTCTGCTCCTAGAACGCGAGAGGAATGCTGCAGAACAAGCTGCCATGAGGAGCCCACGGTCGCCGCTACCATTTGTGTCGCTCAACTCTAGAAACCCGTGTAAACGGTTTTAGAAAAATGACCGAGACTAGCTTCGGGGCACCTAGTCGTAGTGCGTGAGGCCCCATACCTGCCATGAAGACTTACCTAATAATCGAGTAGCAAGGCTGGGAGACTAGGCCCCGCTCAACACATTCTCCTTACGTAGTCCACTACAACTGCTACTAGCCCTTCCTCCTTAAGGCTTCCTTAACTTAGAAAACTTTCAGCAGCTTTGATGACACCAGTCGAGAGGCAGCCAACTTACTCTGCTCGCAGCCTCCGCACTTCTGGGAGAAGGGGGAAGCTTATCTGCCCCTAAGGTGGACACTATGGCCAACAATGACGAGTGTGGTTTGACTATTTTCCACTGCATGTTGAGTTAGAAAGTAAATAAAAGGAAAAAGTCACAACAGTGTCATTACTTTCTTCAATCTATTACTTTCGAGCTGTGGTCAAAGTCTGTCAGAAGTTAATTCTAAGCGAGCACTTCTTTGACAGATTGGAGAACTCTTATTTGTTCGCCCAGCGAGGAAGGCCGTTTCGGTTCAGTAATTCATCCACCGGCAGGAACGAACTTCTGCAACGTTCTTCAGGACTGGCATCTTATGAAGAACCCCAACGTTCTCTGGAACAGGATGTCTTCCATCCTCATCGGTGGTATATCTGAGGTAGCAAATCCTTGGAAAGTTGCATATCTCGAAACGGACGTCATACTCACATATACTATCAAAATGTGGTTCTAGGGTCTGGTTTATCTCTGTATATATACGGTGTACGACGATGACATGCAGCAACCTTTCAGTCCAAAGATCCATAATCTGTTGAAAAATACCAGGTGCTGATTTGACTCGAAGGTTAAACGAATATAACGGCAGAGTCCCTTGTGTGTGCTTATCGTCAACGTCGCCTGCATTTATTGCGCGAGTTCTGCCTGCAGATACGCATGTGTCGAGTCGATTTGCCTAAAAATTGTCCTCCATTCAGCCTTGTGGACACCTTTTCTGTTGTGGGTAATGCTGATGCCGCAGCAGGTGGTTTATTCCTGTTGAGAAGTCGGCATAAATGAATCTGCCGGTTCTGCTTCGTGACAGCTAAGACGGGTGCGGCCCATCCTAAATGAACAACTGGAAAAATCACACCAGCGGATACCAAGTGATCAATCTCTGCATCTAATTCTGGCACGGTGGCATAAGTAGCTGGTTGCTTCGTTTTGAAAATAGGTGCGGTGATCCGCTTCAAGAATAACTTCGCTTTCCCTTTCTTGCATCAACCAGGCTCGCAGCTGAAAACTTCTGCGTACTACTTCTTTAGGTCTGCAACTAACTATGCTCAGACAGCCGCTTTCTCACCATTACTATATATGAAATATGTGGCAGTGGTGTTTGCTTTGTAGCTTCTTGTAGCGGAAAGTTGAACACACTACTCTGATCCAAGTAAATGTGTATTCCCGAGCACATTAACAACCATTCACCTTGGAATTTCGTTTTCATGGCACTGTCTTTCACGGAAGAGTGCGTGGAGAATCTTTTATCATTCTCATCGGTGATCCGCCTGCCATCTTGGCTGGCATATTACAGGATTCCAAAGGTGGGCACACGAGTTTCTTTCATGTTCGGCGAGATACCAGCATGACATGTCATGTCACATGTCTGCCCCAGTGTCAAGCTGGAAACGTAGCGAAAGGCCCCACCTCAACATAGACGAATATTCTTTCTTTCTCAGCGACAAAAGTTGCAACATTTTAACATTGCATCCTCTTACGATGGTAGTGCTGCCCTTCCGATTTCTTTGGAGAACTGTTAAGGAAGTGGGCAACGCTATTGAAATAAGGTTCTCCACCTTTGAAACATTCCACTTTCTTTATTTAAACAGTGGATGTTGCGGCTTGTTCACACATACTGACGGTTTCCATCTTCGGAGCTGTGAAATTTTCGCTGGCAACGACATCTTCAATTATTGGCGGCAGTCTTCGACGTGCGTCCAGGCTAGGCAGCATTCGTGGACGTATATCCTAGAGTGAAGTTCTCGAAGATCTGCGATGAACTGCAGAATTTTCATCGCCGTGTAATCCATATCCTTTATGCAAGCTCTTTCGTCCATCCGTTTGATCGTGTTATCCTACTCTCGACAGTGTATGTCTGGAGTTGGAGCTCGGAAACTTATCTTCAGACGTTGATATCGTCATTGAATCAATGTTTCTAAATAGCTTTCAGAAATTGGTTGCTGTTGAATCGAAATCAAGCTCATCTAACCTTTGTGACGGTGACAGATCATCAGCATAATTAGGGTACGCGCTATCTTCTCGTTCCGACAGAATCAGATCTCTCCTCCTGCGAACTGGTACACTCGACTCTTGAATCATTGGTCCGCACCTCTTATACTTATATTCGTAAGTAAAGCTTCTTCATCTGCCACAAAATTTCAGACTTTTTTGTTCACTTGGGCGTTCTGGCTATCCTGATGGTCTTTTCCGTTGTTCCTGTTCGCTGCAAGCGGTTGAACAGCGTTCCGTTCTTCATGGTGGAAATGCAGTTGGTGAATAGTAGACTGTAGCGGTATCTCAAATGCGGCTGGAGTAGGGTTCGTATCTCCGAATGACTTCGGCATCTCCTATGTGCTGCTGCTGGTAGGCTCTGATGCTAGCAGGTCTTGGTGCTGGAAGATCCTTATAGTAATCGGTCCTGTTGCTGTTTGATCCTGATCGCCAAAATTCCTTTGTTTTCTGTACCGTAACGGGAAGCAGCATAGTCGTACACTGGGGTCCAAGCTGAATAAAACTGAACCATATTCGACAAACGCTCTTTATACAGGAATGATCTGGTGTTGCACAATGCTACTATTAGACTATCATTTCTCAACACTATGAATGCAAACAGCACCTGTGTCATCTGTGATCCCGTTAATCATCGAGTTCCTCGAGCGAGCTCCAGTAACGTCTTCATCCGTCCCCGCAACGTGCAATAGTTGCCCAATAGACTTTCTCTGCTCAAGGGACACGATGAACTTCATACCATTCGTTCAGAGCTTTCACGAGGAACTCTGGCCATCGCACAGGCGGTCGTTCAGGCTTTCTCTTGACATCCCGTGGAATCCAGTCGGTGATCGCTCTGGTCCAGCGGTCGTCCTCAAAGCGCATGACGTGCCCGGCTCAGCCAAGCACGTCATGCGCTTAGAGGACGAGGCCTTGGCAAATGCAGTGACGTCTCTGATCTTCGGTTGTCGGCGGAGTGCGAAGCTCCGGATTCCCTCTCTCAATTGCGCGTAGCGGGAAACTCCGAGCATTGCCCTTTCGATGGCGCGTTGAATAACGCCAACCGCATGCTCATCCTGCTTTCGTAGAGTTCAAGTCTCTGAGGCATAAGTCAAAGCAGGAAGCCGCGGAATCGATGAATGGATTGGTGTTCTTCGTAATCTTCGATACTCCTTCGACGCTCTGGAAGGCTCTCCAAGCCGTTCCTAATGCTCAGCTCTGGTGCTAAGTCGTTCATCATATTGATTTCACGACCTAGTACACATAGCTAGAGCATTCGGAGATGGCCGTCCCGTTGAGCGTGAATGGGGCGTCAGAAACCATTCCGTTCCTCACGGACATCTGCGTTGGATTTAGCTGTAGACCGATTTTTCCACACGAGCAGTTGGAATCAGCCAGTATTATTTCCGCTTGCTCGATATTTGGTCTTATCAAAACGATGTCGTCAGCAAAGCGTAGATTGTGTAGTTTCCGACCGTCGATCTCCTCTCCCATGTCTTCCCATTCCAGATGACGTATGACGTTCTCGAAAGAGGATCTGAAAAGCTTGAGCGAGATGATGTCGCCTTGTCAACCCGCCCTCTTCACGTCGATGATGATCTCCTTGTAGAATGGTGAAATCTTTTACGGGAATTTGCTGTAGAGCTCACGAAGAATACTGATATACTGAGTAGGAATACCATGGTTTCCCAGGGATTCGATAACCGTTTCTGTCTCAACGGAGTCGAAGGCTTTTTTCAAGTCGATGAACGTGAGACATAGCGGCATCTTGTACTCCGATGAGCTTCGCTACCGTGTGGATGTGATCGACCGTGCTGAATCCTCTTCGGAACCCTGCTTGCTCGCATCGCTGTTCTTCGTCTAGCGTTCTGCCAATCCTGTACAGGATGCCTGGTGTGAAGAGTTTGTAGACTACAGACAGCAGACAGATTGGGCTATAATTGCCAATGCCGTGCGAGTCTCCCTTCTTATACAGCAACACAGACTTGCTGCTTTTCCACGAGGTGGTTACCTTGCATTCCGACAGGTAACGAGAGTGGAGCCAGAGTTTTACAAGAACTGGTGGAAGATTCTCCAAATGTTCGGGTCTGACTTTGTCGAAACCGGGTGCCGTACGATTCTTCGCCGACCGGCGTGTCGGACTACAGAAGGGAGAAGTGCAGGAAATACGTATCCATTCTGCTCCAAGCGAATGGTGGCAGGTGGACGTGGCTGCTGTCAAAGAGATCAAAGTAGAAGTCGTGGATAACCTTCTCCACTACCCTTCTGGATGCAGTGATTGTTCCTCCGGACGTCGGAGGCCGGTCATCTTGGTCTTGCAGTTAGCGAATCGTGGCGGGTATTGGGGATGCTCTTCCCCGCCTCTGCGCCTTCCACCAGTACAGCTGCTCTTCTCTCCTTGAGGTCTTTCTTTATCGCTTCTCTGCATAGCTTCGCAAGCTCAGGTGTCAGCTGGTAATTGCCTGCGGCTCGTGCGGCTCCACGTTGGCGAAACAACTATCGAGTCTCTCTGGTTATCGAGTTTCCAGAGATAGGATGTGGGCATATATTCTTCAGTAGCAAGTAATACACTGCTTTCCAAGCGCCAGTACCTCAGTACCTCTTTGCTCATTGCTCCAAAAAAACAAACTTGAACTTAACTTGTTGCTTACATGCATATTTTAAAAGGTGCTAGCCATTAACTCAGTGAAGCTACCCTGCTTCGCTGAGTACAGTGCAGTGCCCATCCGCTCGTAATGTAAGCGCGCGTTATTTTCCACGTATTTTCGTCGTGATGTCCCTTGTTCCAGGGCGTACCTTACCCAGCTGGAAATCAGCCGCAGAAGGAATGCTCATTTTTGTTGTCTTTGTTGATGCTCTGATCTATTTTCAACGTGTTTTGAGCTCCACTATACCTTACTACCGTTTCCTACCTCTGCATTTTGCAATTAATACCAATTATATTAGGTTGTCCGGAAAGTTCTCAGCGTTTTGAGTGTTTCACTTTAAACGATTATAACTTTCTTTATACTCATCGGATTTAATCGATATAAGCACCGTTCGAATCAGCACACTCGCCAATGTGAGCCAGTCGATGAATCCCATCAAAGAAAAAATAGGGTAGTCGAGAATCCACTAAATCCTCGAAGGCTTTTTTTGCCCGGTCCTGACTGATAAAGTATTTTCGGAAGTTCTGAAAATGTTCGAAAAGGTAATATTCTGTTGGTGAAAGCTCTGGAGGATATGGCGGGTGAGGTAGAACTTCAACCCCCAATTAGTTCAATTTATGGATAGTGATTTGTGAAACGTGTGGACGGGCGTTGTCATGCAAAAGAATCGGACCTTTCTGTTGACGAATGCTGGCTGCAGCTGACGCAATTTCCGGTACATTTCGGCGATTTCCTCATAGTAGGACTCTGCTGTAATGGTTTGGCCTGGTGGCAAAAAGTTATAGTGGATCACCCCAGCCGATGACCACCACACTATGACCATAAACTTTTTTTTCGCGAGGATTCAGCTTTGGAAATTGCCTCGGTGGTTCGTCGGCATCCAACCACTGTCCGGAACGTCTCCTGTTATCATCCATGATCCACTTTTCATCACAGGTGACAATTCGGTCCAAAAACGGGTCGTTTCTGTTGCGCAAAAGCAGTGAAGAAGAAACCTCACGACGTATCAATTCTGCCGGTCACTCAAATTAGGGGCACCCACTTGTCGAGTTTCTTCACCTTTCCAATACGTTTCAGACCATCCGCAACAGTGGATTTGCCAACGCCTAGCTTTTCTGCAATCTGCTGAACTCTTTGGGAGGGGCAGCCTCCACAGACGCCTTCAAATCCTCGTCAGGCATTGCTTTAGGTCGACCGCTACGAGGTTCATCTTCAATGCTAAAATCTCCAGAACGAAATTTGTCCATTCATTGTCGCACGGTGCTTTCTCCAACATTATTGGGCCCCCACACCTGGTTAATTTTTTCGAGCTGTCTCGACTGCGGATTGGCCCAATTTGTAGTTGAAGAACGATATCGTCCGAAGTTGTTCTTTTGACATGCTTCAAAAGTCCTTGGGAAAAGGGGGTTGATCAAAAAAATGCTGAAACCGCAATTACACCATCAGATAGCGCAAAAAATTCTGTACAGGATGTACCACTGAGACGCAAGTGAGAATGAGTTTTTAATCAGCAATGAATGTACAGAAAATAGTAACGCGGAACGCTGAGAACTTTCCAGACAACCTAATACTAAAGTGAAACTAGTGATCAAACACTTGGGCATAGTATGTGATAGCACTAGAAACGATGAGAAACCAAAGACTTCCTTAGGTGGTAAAGAGCTAAATGAAACAAATTAAGTGTGAGTTGCAGTGTTTGGAAATATTCATAAATAACGTCAAAGTGGCGCACTGAAGCAGAAAGGGTGAGAGTAGTGCTCATAAATGAGAAGAAAAAAAACTATTGATTTGTGCCAGTTGTTGTAAGCTGCTGGGAATGTTGAGCATTACTCGCGTAGTTTAGGTAAAGACAGTCTCCGCGCTCAAGCATTTCGCAGGCGTCTTTCCTTGTACAAGTAGCCCAACCGTCGTGCTCTGAAATTATCCTGTTTCGCGGCTTCATATTGAACACCTAATGCTCTCATATGTGGCAACTCTGACGCTTCCCTGACTGTTCCACCAAAAGTCGAAGGCTATTTGCCGCCATGAGTTTAGTATTTCCACCCGTT